TTGCAGTTAGAGTGCGCGCCCATGCGCACCCAAGCTTGAGAGTGCGCGCCCATGCGCGCCCAAGCTTGGCATTGCAGTTAGAGTGCGCGCCCATGTGCCCCCAAGCTGGATATAGTTATTTGAGTGTGCGCCCATGTGCACTTGCGCTGGATATATGTGCGCTCAGGCTGGATATAGTTATTTGAGTGTGCGCCCATGTGCACTTGCACTGGATATGTGTGCGTCCAGGCTGGATAATGTCATTTTAGTACATTAGAGTACGCGCCTATGTGCGCCCAGGCTGATTATTGTCATTTGAGTGCACGCCCGTGTGCGCCTGAGCCTATGATTATTATGGGATGATTTGCCTTCACTCACCTGTTGATTTATTTCCTTGCTGATCAACATCAGCTCATGCGCGTAATATTCTTTATCGTGCAGGGAGCATTGGCAGTTTAGTCCCTGCACAGATGACCTGGCTCAGTCTAGCCCCAGTACATTCAACATTTGTGACTGGTTCCTGTGCATGAGATGTTCTATTGATCAGTTGCTGTTCGGCCGGGCCCTTCAGGCAGGCCTGCTTGAGATTGTTGATGTTCAGCCGGGCCCTTCAGGCGGTCTTACTTGAGATTATTGTTGTTCAGCCGGACCCTTCAGGCGGGCCTACTTGAGATTGTTGCTGTTCAGCCGGGCCCTTCAGGCGGTCCTACTTGAGATTGTTGCTATTCAGCCGGACCCTTCAGGCAGGCCTACTCGAGATTGTTGCTGTTCAGCCGGGCCGCTTCAGGCGGGCCCACTTTTCGAGATTGAGTTGCTGATTCAGCCGGGCCCCTTCAGGCGGGTCCACTTCTCGAGATTGTCGCAGTTTTCAGTGAGGCCCCTTCAGGCGGGCCCTTTCTTCTGAGATAGTTGCTGCTCACCCAGACCCATCCAGGCGGGCTCTATATTGAGTTGCTGTTCAGCCGGGCCCATTCAGGCGGGCCCTATATCGAGCTGCAGTCAGGCCATTCAGACGGGCTTTTACATTGAGTTGCTGACTACTATTCGGCCAGGTCTTGGAGACAGTACCTGTACTAGAGAGGGTGTGCTTTCTGTCCAAGCTGGCCCGTCGTCGTGAGACTACCCCTAAGTGGGGTAGATTGATTGAGAGGTTCTGTTACAGACATGTGGGACATMAGAGTTTCACTATCAGGGYCAAYGAGTSCTYGRCCTCGAGACACACGCTCGTGATCACCTACTCGATGAAGGGGGCAGAGACGGGGGTGAAGGGCACCACGTACGACAGGATTGCTGATTACATATTTCGCAGGGAGAGCTATTGGAGGGACAACTGGCTGCACGTGGTATTTCCCCGAGTACCTTCGGCTCCTGGGTGTGTTCTTCGATTTTGATGGATGCAACCCCTAGCCCCTTAGTGAATCTCGCAGCAACGACAGGAGGCGGAAGGACGACCGGATAGGAGAGAGATAGCCAGATCCGCGGTCCCAATCACTACATGCGTCCAGAGATCAGAGACGGATGAGTCGGACTTGGAGCCCTGCTCTGTGAGTGACGTTGATCTTGGCGATTACTTCGACTGGGACACTCACAGAGATTGAGTTTGTGGACAGTGATGGGAGCGCTAGAGACCAGAGAGCGGTGACGTCGGAGGGCGACATTGAGGAGGATCGCACATCTTCTTGCACGGTATCTTCTTGATAGTGATTGACTCCTACATGTCAGACGACCCTAGGTCTGAGACTGTTATTGGTCCCCCAAAATGGCAAATTCCGGTCCCATACCTTGGAGATGGCTTCAGTCATTTGGTCGGGACGGACTTTGCTATGCAGGCTTATCGAAAGTCTCTTTACGGAGATCGCTTTCTCGAGGTTTCCTACATTTACTCTGGTGGGAGAGAACATATTGAGATATTGATTGGAGCTTCAGGCGACTTCATTCTTGCAGAGGAGCTTTACCTCAGGAGCGTCGCTGATGGAAGATGGCTAGATGCATGGCCTATATCTGCAAGGTTGATCCAGCAGCGCCTCTCGAGATCAGCTTTGTGGTTCTAGAGTCTATAGCCACACGAGTTCTCAATGACGAGGAGCCCCTGATGACAGCACTCACTCATGAGGGGGTACAACTTATTATCATTGATTGAGGTTCCCTCTTTTCAGTCACTATGATGTATTACAACATTATTATTTATTAGTGACTGCAGCCCTCCGATGGCTGTTCCCTGCATATTTTGTGTACTACTCTTCAGTCTCGTTTCTCTGGTCATGCTCTTGCAGAGTCTGGTTTCTGGTCTTCTCATGTTGTCAGTGTCAAGTGCTCTATGATGTATGATGCATGCTTGTTAATTTTCCTCCTTGTTTTATGCAGGCTACACTCAATGCAGCTTAAAGGACTCCTGAATGATAGGGATTTTGCTGACCTTGAGTCTATCCTTTATACGGGGTCAGGTGCAGGCGATAAACCCGAACGCCTCACTCTAAGCCGTGTCGCCGCTGGCAGGAGGGATAATCCTGACTACTCGGCTGTATGATAATGTGTGACTGCCTCTGAATACACCTCTATTTTTATACTTATCAAAATTCCTGCGTGACAGCCTGACAGTCCTTCAACCCACTGAGCTCCGTCCCGGGGAAGGACATCTCACCGGACCCTTGAAGCAGTAGGAGCGCGACAGCGCGACCCAGGGGTTAGTGACGGACGAGGAGTTGGCGTCACTGAGACGTCGATCACAATAGCTAGGTAATCGTCCTCCTCGTCCAGTAGCGAAGGTTTTTGGTGCGCGAGGCACGGTGCTCCTTCCCTATTAGGGGGAGGTGCCAGAGGAGGAGGTTGAGGATAACCCAACTCGGGCAGGGCACGACGAGGCCGTTGACAACGATGAGGAGTGGACCGACCCTGAGGAGATCGCATGTCGTGCAGTTAAGAGTCTAGAGAGACTTTACTTCGCACAGGGCGGAGATGCCTCTGGGGCACAGCCTCGGACTACGCTGATCAGAGTGGACGATGATCCTCCACGGGAGGCACGCGAGACTCGGGCAGGCGTAGACGATGCCACGGGACGTGGCACGGGCACGCACCGCCCATGGTACACAGGGGAGGAGGGTGTTCGGTGTTGACAGCACCGACGATGAGCAGGTGGACGAGGACGACGAGTCTTTATTGCATGCATGTGATTCACCGGCGCCTCCGGTCACTGATGGAGGAGAGTCTCTTAGATGGTCGGCGAGGCTGGTTAGCCGCGACACTACAACCCCATAGACAGAGACCACTTGTTCGCAGCACCTGGACGAGATACTGGGCGATATACCGGAGGGTGAGGAGCCCGAGCAGCGCACTCCAGGAGGATCCATCACAGGATATTCCTTCAGTCTTGCGGACGAGCAACTTCATGGTGGGTGGGATGGGCACGTCCGGTAGAGGTATTGGTAGACGCCAGCACGTTCGATTGGGGGACATGGCCAACTACTGTCCTGACGACAGCCACACTGAGGAGACTCAGGCAGAGCGAGACGCGCGCATTGACGCGGAGGAGGAGAGTCGTTTGTCTCGGATGCAGTGGGTAAGGAAAGTGGCTTATCTGGCGGAGGTGGAGCGCATGAGACGGTTAGAGACCATTGGTGCCGGTGGCAATCAGGAGAGCGTGGAGGCTGTGCTCGGACAGGATGCTGCCTTGCAGCCTTCGGGTGGGGGACATGTTTCACCACATCCGCCGACGTCGCTACCACACACGACCACCGACCGCCCTGCTGCGACACACCATGCCACTGTCTCACCATCCCCGACCATTATGGGACATGTTGATGTTGCACCTGTGTCTGAATCGCCTCCTGGACCATGCGGGTCGCCTGTGTCTCATGCTCCTCTTACCTCAAAGGCAGGAGGTTCAGGCACAATGGACTCGAAGTCGCAGGTTGTGCGCGACGTTGTACTGGGAGATATTGCACCCGGAGGTGCGGAGTTGTAGCAGGTGCTCAGTCATGAGGACTGTGGTGTTGACGCTGGGGCTGAGGGTATGGTGGCGGATGTTGCAGACATACAGGAGCCACACAGGGTGCCCATTGACGTTAAGCCCATCTCGGATGAGGTTCCTGTGGGAGACATAACATGAGGCGACGAGGAGGAGTTGGGAGGGCACGGAGCGGAGGGCGAGGCGCGAGCGGATGTTCACACGACTGACTTAGTCCTCGATACAGAGGGCGGGTGTGGTGGATCCGTTGCCCGGCACCCCTACTGGCCGTGATAAATGTCCTGATTTCCGCGACGCATCAACGCCAGCTTACACCCCTGTCATCCCTGTAGATTATGGATCCCCCGGGAACTTGGAGCGTGAGGAGGCGGAGTTAGTGAGGATTAGAGAGGAGTGATGGGCTGCTCACAGTGGTATGCGTCCACCGGCACTGGCCACGCCATGCGCGCAGAGCGTAGCCCAGCAACCGACACCGGGGAGTGTTGTTGGGGAGGATACATGTCTACCTCGTCGGCACCTTCATGGCAGGAGGTTCGGCAGTCTGACCAGCATCCTTGGTCATCTGTGCGAAGAGTGGATGGGAAGCTTAGGAGAGAGGTTGCTGCGGCTGAGGCGAGACGTAGAGAGGAGAGACAGAGGGTAGGGAGAGAGGGACAAGAGAGAGCTCTGAGAGAGAGAGAGGCAGAGGAGGCAGGACAAGCCGAGGTTGGCAGCGGGGGCCGACCCGGTGTCGGCACCACGTGTCGTATTTTGGGAGTGAGACTTCCTAGGAGGATGCGAGATTTGCGCATGCCAGCCACACCAGAGCCGGGAGTGCATAGCAGGGCGTACACCTCTGGCGAGGAGGCTTTGCGTATGCGCGTCGGACAGAGACGTCAAGACTCCTTGATGGAGATAGAGGCTCGTATAGAACCCCACCAGATAGAGATTGCAGCGTTGGAGGCTTCAGCATTTGCGAGGGTTGAGGAGGCCGCACGAGACGTCGACGCAGACACGGAGGAGGAGTCTATTGGCGTGGCGAGGCGGAGAGAGAGAGAGAGGAGAGCAGATTCTTCGACACGATCGACCACGCATGGTCCTCGATCAGCAGGTCGGGGTGGCGGCCGTGATGCCGGACAGTTATAGGGACATGAGCCTTGCTCTATTCCGTGAATGTTTGAAGTTGACTATTGTCCTTAGGTTTGTTTGTAGTCTTCATTATGTAGTGTGTATTAAGATCGACGCAACTTCTGTACATTAGAGACACTCTTAGTTGATCGGTAGATAGTTCACATACAGACGACGATCTTTGTAGATGATGTTTGGCTATTTGGTTTGTCATAGCACGCATGTTGTTTGGTATTAGGCTTATTTAGCATTCAGCGATCTTGTTTTCTCATACGCAGGCTCTACATTTATTGTGTATAGGGCAGTTATTTTGATTTGTCATTCGAGCAAACGTGTGTTTTGTTTATATTTCTTACACATTGTTCGGACGGGCGCCGTTCTACCTCAGCATGTGATTGTGTTACTCATGTCGTATTGCACATGTTGATGTCCAAAATATGTGTGGACTTTGCTTTTCATGTATGGTAAACCCATGTGGATTTTCCTTTTCATGTTTGGTAATAAGATGTATTACTCATGTGATATTGCAGTGGATGTCCAAATGTGATGTCTCTTAAAAAATGTAACCCAAACCCCCCGCCACCCCCCTCCTGGCCAACTCCACCTTCCGACACCTACTTACAATTGACAACCCCCAACCCAGAGTTTGTCAAATGGGATTTTTAGAATTACCTGTACCTGACCTAAGCACATCCTCTTTGAAAACCAATACTCATACCCATTGTATACCCATCTCCACCTGCTAAAAACAAAAAAAAGGATACCACGGTTGGGGAGGAGGAGGGGGGGGGGGGTTGGAACGGGTGGGTATATCACGGTTACCCGATGGGAACGTCTACCCCTCCGTACCCACCGTTTCTTATAACACCCACCCCAACCCCAACCCCAACGGTTACCC